TTGCAGACATGTGCAAACATAACCACAGTCAGTTTTAGAACATTTTATTCATCTCAAAGAGAAACCCTGCCCCTTAAGCTATCACCTACTTATTCCTCATATCCATTCCCAGCCCTAGGAGACCACTAATTTCTTTCTGCCTCTGTAGACTGATGCTAAACTATTTTTTTAAAGGTATTTTTGTCATTTATTCTTCAGTTCAAAAGAATACACAGTAGATCTACAAGGAAACATTCCATTAAGATTAATTTTCTCCATAGATATACACTTTAATCAGCACATTGTAAAGTGTCTTATTCTTCATGACAATAAGTATGGTTGCATGATGAGGAAAAGAGTATATTTTCCTGCTGAGAGGCTCCTATAGATTTGTCACATTCTCAAATGTGAAAAACCACTGCTTTAAAAAAAGAAACTGTTTGGAAGAAATCTAAGTTTTCTAAAAGAAAAACACCTTTTCCCAGGAAAAAAATAAAATTGGTGAAATCAGGGAAATGGACAGATATAAAATAAACAAACAAAATCAAAGACTTCTCTCCCATAGAATGACAGTAATACTAGTTAATAAATATGAATGAGAAACAAACCTTCCTCAAAATACTACCTGAAATAAACCATAAAATACCAAAAATAGGACTTAGATAGGGAGCACATAAAATATTTTACCAAAAGATATAAAAGCAGGGCTTCCCTGGTGGCGCAGCGGTTGAAAATCCACCTGCTGATGCAGGGGACACGGGTTCGTGCCCCGGTCCAGGAAGATCCCACATGCCGCAGAGCGGCTGGGCCCGTGAGCCATGGCCGCTGAGCCTGTGCGTCCAGAGCCTGTGCTCCACAACGGGAGAAGCCACAACAGTAAGAGGCCCACGTACCGCAAAAAAAAAAAAAAAAAAAGCAAATAAGTGAGAAAAATACATATATTCCTGTTGAAAAATACCAGATGCTGAAATATGTCAATTATCTCCATTTAAATTTGCAGATTTACTGCATACTAACACTATAGGTCAGTTTTCGGGGGAGGTAAGAGGTGGAAGGGATGTGACAAAGTGATTCTCAAATTAACCTAGAAGAATAATAAGGAGGTAAATAGTATATTTTAAAAAGAGGATTTTATAGGACATATATGTCATATAAGAAATTAAAGCATACTATATCAGATGTAATAATCAAAACAATGTTGTACTGGTTCAAGACATATAGAGAGAAGGAAGGGGGCAGGCAGCAATCAGAGCCTAGAGACAGATCTTAGTATTTATATAACATATTATGATAAATGTGGCCTTCAAAATAGGTTGGGAAAGGACAGACATTTATGAACTGAATGCTGCATTCCCCCCGAAATTCTATTTTGAAGCCCTAGTGCCAGTGTAGCCTTGTTTGGAGAAGAGGCCTTGGAGAGATAATTAAAGTCAAATGAAGTCATATGGGTAAGGTCCTAATCTGATGGGATTGGTGTCCTTATAAAAGGAGAAGACACTAGAATACATGCTGAGGAAGGGCCATGTGAGAACACAATGAGAATGTGATCATCTGAAACCCAGGAGGGTCCTTACCAGAAACCAACCATGATGGCACCTTGATCTCAGACTTTCAGCCTCTGGAACTGTGAGAAAATAAATTTCTGTTGTTTAAGCTACCCAATCTATATATTTCATTATGGTAACCTGAGCTGAATAAAACAACAGATTATCACAATAATGTTATTGGAGGTGATGAGTCATTTTCAAAATAAAGTCCAACCTCACACACAACACTAAAATAAACTTTTAGTTTATGAATTATATGTTAAACAAGTAACTACAGAAATACTAAAACTAAATATAGACAAATAATTACATTTATTTGGAATAAGGAAGACATAAATAGTAAGGTTAAAGATCAATAAATTTAACTCCATTAAAAATTTTAAACTTCTGTAAAGCCATGGAAAAGAAAATCAAAGGTTAGAAACACATGAAACTAAGGAAATATTTACAACCTATATATCAGACTAGAGATTAACATTCAGACTAAGGTTAATGTTAAACATTAACATCCATGCGTTACTAATAAATATAAAATAAAACGATTAAAATACAAAATAAAGGCAATGCATAGGAACAGGAAATTCTAAGAAGATATACAAATAACTAAAAAGATGTGAAGAGATTTTTAATATCAGTATTAAAGAAAAACATTAAATTAATTTCTGACATATAATTTCTGACATTATTACTATATTGGGAATGACTTTTTGTTTTTAAACGTAACTTTCTGCGGCATAAAAGGAATAAGGAAATAGGAATTCTAACAGATGATGCTTAGTGATGCTAAATGGTTCAATCTTTTTGTATAGCAAATTAGCAATACACATCCAGAGCCTCAGAAATATACAGATCCTTTAACTCACTAAATTCACATCTAAGAATTTATCCTAAGTATAATTAATGTGCAAGGATATGTTAATAAAAATATTTACTTCAATGTTTATAACAACTTAAAAAAACTTTTTAAAAAAGTGTATCAAGTGAATTAATTTTTTAAAATGGTACATTCCTAAAAATGGAACATTATACAAATGCACATTAAAACTAATACAAATTCATTAGATATTAAATGAAAAATACAGCATGTTTTACGTAAAATACATATTGTATATCATGTATTCATTCACAGAAAAAGGGGTCTTGAAATTTACATATAAGAAAGCTAATAATAATCATGCCAGGGATCATGGCCAAACTCGTTACTATTAATAATCAATATTTCCTATCTTTTAATAACCATGTTATCTTTGTATAACTTTTTTATGTAAGAGCACACCATGCAATGGAGGAAAGTAAAGCATTTAAAAAATGATCCTAGGACAATGGATATACTATTGCAAGAAAAAATAAAACGAGATCTTTAATCATACCCTAAATGACAATAAGAATAGGTGGTAGTAACTACATAAATGTGTAACAATCAAGCCATGAAATAGTTGAGACTGTTTTTTAGTCTCAGAACAGGCAGAACTTTTAAAAAATATTTTTAAATGTTCCAGACTTTATTATGACATAAGCATATGAATGGTAAAAATGTCAGGTCAAGTCCTTGGACACAAATAAGCAATGGGAGAAATTTTAAAATAAGATAAATATAATTAGATACATAAACATTTAACATTTTAAATACTAAAGAAGAAACCACCAGCAAAAATAAAAGGAGAAAAAAATTTGCAACACATTCAATAACGACATACCCTCTTTGGTTTCAAACTCATACGTTAATCAATCTCCTAGACCCTACTACTTGAATAGCACAAAAAGTATCTCAAAGTAATCACAGCCAAAGGTAACTTATGACTTCCCCACTCCAAACCATCAAAACCAACACTATCATCCAAGGAAGGAAACTATAAACCTAGGCATTAGCTTGATACTTCTTTCTACCTTACCTCTTGTATATTAAACCATCAGAAAGTATAATTAATCTTACTTCCTAAAAATCTCTCAAACTCATCCACATCTCTCTATATCTACTATCACCTTGGTCCAGCAATCATCATCTCTTGTCTGGAATACTAGACTAGCCTACTAACTGCTTTCCCCACATCCATTCTCATCCCTTATCTGTAATTTAGCCAGAACAATCTTTTAAAAATAGAAATCTGACTTTCTCACTCCAATTTACCCCCAACACACACATACTCACTCAACCCACTGCTTAAAGGGTCAAACAGGTCCTAAATAATATGACACCTACCTACTTCTTTATTCTCACTTCCTACCTTAGTTGCCTAGCTTTCTATGTTTATGTTCTAACCACTCAGGACATCTTTCAGTTTCCTAAAATGGCTACAATCCCTTCAATTATAGATTTTACACATGGTATTTACTCTAGAACACTTGCTAATGACTAGATAAAGAGAGTTGAAGGGTTATGAATGACTTTTAAGTTTCTGGCTAGCATAACTAGATGTATACTATTCTTGAAATTTTTTAAATACCAAATTATCTTCTATTATTAACTCCTCACTATTATTCCTCAAACACTTCAGACATAAAAGTACCTCAAAGTCCTTGTACTACCGTTCCTTTCACCTGGAATGATCTTTTAATTGATCTTTACACAAATAGTTACTCCTTGATATTTAGATCTCAGAATGCCACTTCAGATCAACTTCAGTCAAAAGCAGGCACCTTGTTGCCCTAATCTATCACTCTATTTTAATTGTCTACATTGCATTATCACTGTCTGATATTCCTATTTATTTGTTTATTGGGAATCTCCCCAATTAAAATATAACTCTCTGAGAGCAAAGACTTTATTCTTATTCATTCTTGTATTCCCATTGCCAACACGTAATCCTTGTTTAAGAAATATTGAATGAATGAATGATTCAGAGCCAGCATTCTCTGCTTGTAATAAAGTAGATTATCATCAACAATTGATGCTATCATAAAATATATCAATAGATCATGGGAACTCATAATTAAGCAACTTACTGAAATGTTGTAGAGTAAGAATAAATCTGTGAACTCCAAATCAGTATTAATAGGCATTATGAAGGCAATATGGAGTAGTGGCTAAGAACATGGGCTCTGCAGTCACACCGTCGCGGTTTGAATCCAAGCTCCACCACTTACTGGGTGACATCAGGCTGGTTACCTAACCTCTCTGAGGTTCAGTTCCCCAGACTATAGGGTAAATATAACAATAGCACGTGCCTTATAGGGATGAAGTGAGGATGAAATATATATGCAGTACACAATAACAATATAATAACAATGCCTGAGACATAGACAGCAATCAAATGTTAGCTGCTGTTTTCTTATTGCAAAGAGCATTCACAAGAGTGGGCTTAGTGTTAGAGAACATGCAGTTTGAAGTGACTACTTCCATACATCTTTGAAGAAGATGACTCCAAATGGGTGATTTCAAACAATACACATATGATGATTTTAAAGCAGTAGAAGACTGAATAGCATATAGATAATTAGCTTGAAGTAAGAACTTCTCTCGTGCTTCTTACATACCGAGTGAGTACGGAGTGCTGCGATGGTTTTTGAAAGTGCCATTTCCCACAGTTCATCGATGTAGGCTCTATTTACTAAACCCTGGGTTGTATGTAAAATGTGATCTTCAACCACAAAAAAGCTAAGATTGAGGAAAAAAGAAAGCACAGCTGTCAGAAATTACAGTTTGAGTACTATCATAAGGGGATGACAAACATTAAGAGTTGTCATCAAATTGGAAGTTAATACTAGCCATTTTTTCTTAAAGAAAGCTGTTTGGTATCACAAACAAAATCAGATTTCTTAGACTTGGAATTATACCTCTGATCATGATATCATCTTAACCACTTCTACAGAAACTGGAGTTACATTCCTATTAAATGTTAACCATGTTATCTAGAAATTTTAAAGGGAAGAAGAAAAATGTTTATAGGTAAAGAAGGCTAATTTCACTACATTAAAATCAACAGCCCATTAATACATTTTAAAAAACGAATAGAATCTAAAGAGATAATGAAAGTTAAAGCACGCATTTTTTTTAAGAATCCAACACACAAAATACCAAAATAATTCCCCTTATATAAACTCTCTCATCAAAGTGCTGAAAAGATATCTTACAAAGGTAAAAAAAAAAAAATACACACGTATTTTTTAACATTCTTCTGTGGCTTCTTAATTTTTATGCATCTAAAATGTATCTTCAGCTTTCTTGCCTAAATATTCATACTAATTAAAACAATTCTTTAAATAGGGAATTGTTATGATACATTTTAATCAAAGGTATCAATTACATTGCAACAATCTAAACTTGGAAAAAGAAGAAATTTCATGGAACAATCCAACTTATTTCCCTTCTTTTTAACTGCAAAGTCACTATTTTGCAATTAGAATAAGCTGTCTATATTTGGGATGTTTATTTGGGAACTGCAATTCCATACTAGTATATATACTCCAGATGAGGATGGCAAACTATACAGTCCATGGAACAAATCTGGCCCACTGCTTGTTTTTATAAACAGTGTTTTATTGGAACACAGCCATTGTCTTTCATTTACATATTGTCTATAGCTGCTTTCGTACCACAACAAAGCTGAATAGTTCTAACAGAAACCGTATGGCCTGCTGAGCCTAAAATACTTTACTATTTGGCCCTTTTAGAAAAAAACTTGCCAACTTTTGCTGATATTTGGTTCCCACTTAACAATAATGAAAAAACAGAACATCACATATAATAAGACTACAATTCAATATTTTTCTCCCTTTATCCATAAAAAGGATTCCTCAACAATATAGAATTATGTTCCCCAACATAATTCTATGAAACGAATAGACATTCCTTTAAAATCATCAGATATTCAAAACAAATCTTGTCTTAAGAATTCAGAAAAGAAAAAAAACTTCCCAAAGAACACGATATACTTTTCCAAGTCTCACAAAAAGTGTATAAACAATTGAAAGTGTATAAATTTAAAACACACACACACACACAAACACACACATACCCACCCTACAATTTGATTAAAATACTTCCTGTAGCCATCTAAAGTTTCATGCTGCAACAAAGCAAAGAGAAAAAAGTTATTGTTTCTGTTTTGACACATTAAGACAGTTAAAACCAGCTAATTAATTTCTTAAGGCTCAATTCCAAAGACTATAAAGTAAATATAATAATAGTACCTACCTTATAGGATTACAGTGAGGATGAAATGAGATAATACATATCTAGTACTTAGAACAATGCCTGACACATAGCAAGCAACAGATGTTAGTTGCTACTTTCTTAATGCAAGTCACGTCCAGTGGTCCCAGAGTGACAGTGTGGGGTGGAGGTGGGGGGGAAGCCCAAATGGAAAATAATTAAAAGATACCAGAGAAGAAAAGTGAAAAAGGGAGAAAAGTAAAGGTGGTGATCCTACCATGTTAGAAGGAGGCTGGAGCACCAAACGAGCCTGTTTTCGCCTCTGTTTTCGGTAGTAGTTCTCAAACGTTTCCCGGGCACCCTGTTAAACAAACGAAAGGAAATGGGTTGATACATTTGGACCAATTACTCTAGTATTTTATGGGAAATTCCCAGGTCAGGAATTGAGGCAGCCCCACATTTCTCAAAATCTGCTATTTTAACACTGATAATCTTCGGAAAAATAAAAATAACTATTATCACTTATTGAACCTTACTTACAAATACCAATAGAGATGGATACAAAAAATTCTTAAGAGGAAACTACCAGAACTCAGCCTCCAACACACCAAAGCTGGTTTCTGAATCAATTATCACAAATTCACAAGAAAGACAAACCAACATTCTCATAGGTTATAATAACAGTTTAGAAAATGGTTCTTAAAAAAAAAACCTCACAGAACATTCCAGAATAAAAACTAGTCTCAAATAAATCATGACCAAAAGGCCAAAGGGAGGCAGGAAAAAGGCAGGAGCTGAGAACATTAAGTCAGTCTTCTCAGACAGAATATAATCTAGCACAGGATTAATGCCAAAAAGGAAGAAACAAAGCCCTGAAAAGTCTTAGCACACAGTTTCTACTTTTCATTTAGGGTTTCTGGGCTTAAACTGAAAGGTGCTCTAGAGAACAAAAGCTAACTCATGAGCTCTATAACGAGGGTTGAACAGTGTCCTCTCAAAATTCATGTCCTTCCCAGGACCTCACAACATGAACCTATTTAGAAATAGGGTCATTACAGATGTAATTAGTTAAATTAAGATGCAGTCATACTACAGTAGGGTGACCCTTAATCCAATATAACTGGTGTCTTCATAAGAAGAGGAAAATGCTATATGAAGGCAGAAACACAGGGAGAACACCATATGGTGCCACCAGCAGAGATGGGACTGATGCAGCTGCAAGCCAAGGAACACCAAGGACTGCTGGCCACCACCAGAAGCTACAGAAAGGCAAGGAAAGATTCTACCCAGAATCTGAGAGGGAGGATGGCCTTCTGTTATCCTCATTTTGGATTTCGAGTCTCCAAAACTGTGACAGAACAAATTTCTCTTATTTTAAGCCACCCAGTTTGTGCTACTTGATTATAGCAGCCATAAGAAACTGATATAAGCTCAAAGCTTTTAAAACATGATGCTTCCCATTATTAAACTCTACTCTCAACCCAAGACTTTTCTAAATAAACAAGAGTAGAAAGGGAAAGACAGCATTACACAGTGGTTAAGAGTACTGATTTTAGAACCAAATGATTTTATTCAAACCATGGCTCTGCCCCTTACTAGCTGTATAACTCATATGACTAGCTATGTAGCTTCCCTTTCATTATTTTAACTTCCAGTATTTAACTCTTTACCTTTCACTAATAGATGTGCTATGGTTTACTCATTTGTAGAGATGCCAAACTCACATGGTTGTAATAAGGATTTAGAAGAGTTATAAAGCTTTTAGAATAGTACCTGATAAATAATAACCACTATGCAAGTACTTATTTAAAACATAAATAAGATGAAATCAGAGATGAAACAGAAAGCCCAGCCCATATGAACATAAACTCCATGAAATACCTGGTTCAGTTTTCTTCACCTTCCCAAAAGTCTGAAGAATTTTACTCAATATGACTTCTTTGTTAGATCCCTAAACCAGAAAAACTGTTTAAGGTACTAAATCATGCAGCCTCAATAGTGTAGCTCAGGCGTTGGCAAATGTTTTCCATAATGGGCAGGACAGTAAATAGGCTTTGGTGAGCCATCCAGTCTCTGATGCTACTACTCAACTCTGCTGCTGTAGTGCAAAAGCAGCCATAGACAATACATAAATGAGTGTGGCTGTGTTCCAATAAAACCTGATTTGTGAAAACTGAAATTAGAATTTCGTATCATTTTCACCTGTCATGAAACATTACTCCTCTTATGAGTTTTTTTATGAATACCAACCATTTAAAAATGTAAAAGTTCACACAGGTCATACAGAAACAGGCAGTAGGCTGGATTTGGCCCATAAGTCATGGTTTGATGACCCCTGGGGTAGCTTAAAAACAAAGGTTTTAAAACACTAAAGTTATTATAACTGTACACATCTGAATTTTTCTGCCTAAAAAATGAAAACAAACATTAAGACAGCTATTTCAAGGCTTTCTTAGTCTATAAGTTAGTGAGGTAGCAAATAATTCTATTTAAGAAATAAAAAGTGGAAACTGTCTGTTGGTTTGTTAAAGCTGTTCCCCACTTGTCACCATTTCACAGCATAGAGGTATTATTAAATGTCAATTACATTCTATACACACTGAATGGCTTTTCATTTTAAGGTTAACAGCCCTAAAGGCCCTTTATTATTTTAGTGTGACGTTACACTTTCAACATGCTTTCTAGCCAAGATACACTTAGCTGAGAATTTAGGGAAAGCCTTCTAATTAGAACACACTATATTAACTTAATTATTTGTTGTAAATGGTAGAAAATAAACAAGATGAAATTCTATATAAAAACCAAATCATGAACCTCTACTTAATTCTAAAGTATATACATTTTGCTTTTTCAATAAAATTGAAACATAAGAAAAGACCAATTTATCTAATAGGTCTGGCTTCCCCATTTACAAAAATGAGCTAGATTTTCCCTAGTGGGTGCTAAATAAACTCACCTCTGATTATTCTATTTCCTTTGCCAATTTTGTCAACTCAATGCTTATAGGAGAAATTTGAGAAATAGAGGTCTGACCAATCCAGTTGAGTAAATGATGAAGTGCCTGTCTATTCACAAATAAGTCAACAGACAGTGAACTATAGAGTTCTGCCACTTCAGCCTCAAGCTCCTTTAATCACTCAAATGAAAAAACAAAACACAAACCAAAAAAGCCACCTCAAAAGCTACTGAAGGTATAAACAAATAGATATAAAACAATCGGCAGGCAAGCAAAAGTTGTTCTGTTTTCCATTTTATGTCATTAGTATGACAGTGCTACAAAGGCTGTATAATAATGAATGAATTAATACACACAATGTCACAGAAAAATTAGTCACAGTGTATATAAAGTGCTCACCATGTGATAGACACTGAGAATCTCCTCACTGAATTTATAGTCTATGGTGGAAGACTAGAAATTAAACAAGCAATTATATAAAATCCTATTAAAATTATATTAGAATCCTACGTATTGAAGTGGGATGTATGTCTGAGTGTGTGTGTGTATGCGTGTGTGCACGTGCACTTAGGGGGTGGGAGGAATGTTAGAGAAAGATTCTCAGAAAAAAAATGACATTTATACTCATAATTGAAGAATGACTCAGAAGAATAAGCCAGGTAAACAGAAAGAAAAAAAAACAATGTTCCTTGTAGACACAGAGAAGTTCAAAGAAAAAAGGTATCACATATCCCATGAATTGAAAGAAGTTCTTCATGGCTGGAACTTCAGGGTGTAAAGGAGAGGGATGACTAGAGACGAGGCTGGAGGACTTTGTAAATCGTGTTAAGATATTTGGACTTCAACTCTAGGTTTAGACACCTGGAAGTTGTAATATAGTGAGTAGAATAAAGGAAGGGGAAATTAGCTACAAAGAGATCAGTCAGAATCTGATATATATTTAGGAGGCATAAGCCAATTGGATATATGTGGTAAAGGACATGAAGGAAAGAAGGCTGATGTGAGGTTTCTAACCTAGTTAACTAGTTTGGTTGGTGGCATCATTTAATGAGAGAGGAATCAGAAGAAAATACAGTTGATTATTACCCATGGTTTCCTAATTTGCAAATTTGCCTACCTGCTAAAATTTATGTGTAGCCTCAAAATCAATACTCATGGCACTTTCATAGTCATTCAAGGACGTACACAGCGTGGGGAAAATTTTGCGTTGCCCGATGCACATGTTCCTAGCTGAGGCCGAACAAAGCAACACTCTTCTTTCTTATTTCACTTCACACACTATAAACAATTATTCTTTTCATGGTCTATCTAGTGCCACATTTTTCAAATTTTTGTGCTTTTTTAAAATATTTGAGGCATAATTGACATAACATTATATTAGTTTCAGATGTACAACTTAATGATTCAATATTTGTGTATACTGCAAAATGATCACCAAAATAACTCTAGTTAACATCTATCACCATGTAGTTATACAGATTTTTTTTCTTGTAATGAGAACTTTTAAGATCTGCTTTCTTAGCAAGTTGAAAATATATAATACAGTATTATTAACTATAGTCACCACGCTGTACATTCCATCCCCAGGACTTATTTTATAACAAAGTTTGTACCTTTTGACCACCTTCATCCAATTCCTCCAACCCCTACTCCCTGCCTCTGGCAACCACCAATCTGTTCTCTGTAACTATGGGTCCAGATGGGTTTTGTTCATTTATTTAGATTCCACATATAAGTGAGTTACAACAGAGTGTCCGTCTTTCCCTGTCTGACTTATTTCACTTAGTATAATGACCTCAAGGTCTACTCACGTTGTCACAAATAGAAAGATCTCTTATTTGAAATCTTTATATGACTGAATAATATTCCATTGTGCATATATGTACCACATCTTTATCCATTCATCTACTGATGGATACTTAGGTTGTTTCCATATCTTGGCTATTGTAGATAATACTGCAATATGGGGATGCATTTATCTTTTCGAGTTAATGTTTTTATTTTCTTTGGATAAATGCCCAGAAGTGGAATTCCTGGTTCATATGGTAGTTCTATTTTTATTTTTTTGAGGAACTTCCACACTGTTTTCCAGAGTGGCTGAACCAATTTACATTCCCACCAACAGTGTAAGAGGGTTCCCTTTCCTCCACAACCTCACCAACACTTGTTATTTCTTGTCTTTTAGATAATAGCCATTCTAACAGGTGAGGTGGTATCTCAAGGTGATTTTAATTTGCATTTCCCTGATGTAGAGCTCCCTTTCATGTACCTGTTAGCCACCTGTGTGTCTTGCATTTTTGTGCTTCTTGTTCGTGATTTTGCTATTTAAAATGAACCCCAAACATAGTACTGAAGTGCTATCTGGTGTACCTAAGCTCAAGAAGGCAAGATGTACCTTACAGAGA